TAGAGAGCTATCTCATCATAGAATAGGTCGCTGTGACAGTCTTAAGCACATGTCCTGAAGCTAACTCATCTTTTGGGATCTCATTATTTTCATGGGAGGTACCAGGAAACTGCTGCTTTGTTCAGAGTGCTATGGCTTTGTTGTTTTATTTTACATATAAACATGCACTAGGGTCTATCAACTTACCAGATTCCAGGAAGGAATCTAAAATGGAAGCAGAAGTTTCCTAACCCTATTTCCCTACACTGTAGCAAAACCAGCAATCCACCTAAAAAATTACATTCCAAATTCAGTCTCCAGACTTTAGAAGTTTGGGAAATGAGCTGTATTTAGACACGCATGTTAATCCAGGACTATCTGAAGTTTACAGGTCCTAAGGTGTGTTATTCCAGCAACAGATTTCCATGCAGGGAACCCCTGGCCAGGAGCTGCATCCAGAGCAAAGGTGAAGAAGACAGACGGAGACATGCACAGCAGAGAGCACCCTGGGCCGGGCTGGGGAGGCTGCTGGGCTGGTTTGCAGAAGCGATTTGCTCAGAGACAGGACCAGGAGTCATGGCCATGAGCAAAGACACAAGAAGTTCCACCTCAATGTGAGGAAGAGCTTCTTTATGTTGGGGTTGGAAGAGCACTGGAACAGCCTGCCCAGAGAGAGCATGGAGTCTCTTCTGGAGACATTCCAAATGCACCTAAATGGCTCTTGTGTCACCTGCTCTAGGTGTCCCTGCCATGGCAGGGATGTTGGACTGGATGATCTCCAGAGATCGCTTCCAATCCTAATGAATCTCTGATTCTGTGAACCTCAGCACTGGAAAAAGGCTTGATGGTCAGTTTCTATCTCAAGTTATCACTGCTAATGGGATTTTTCTGCTCTAATTTCATCATCTAGCAAATATTTTGAAAATTACTAAAAAAGCTTGCACAGAAAAGTAGTACAACATAATTTAAAACTTGTAACACTTAGATATGTAATAGCTGCTTAGTAGTTGTACTTCAAAATTCAGAACTACTTCTCCTTGCCAGCATTTTATGTTCTTTAAAAGGGTGAATTATCTAAATAGTTGGTGCTTTATTTAACAGAAATTTCTAATAAACCTCATTCCATCACTTTGAGTTATGTCACTTCATGCCATGTGACATGAAGGCATTGATGTAAGTTTGACATGCAGTGCCAGTGCTGGCAAGGCAGTTTGAGAATTTATGACAAATTATATGCTACAGATATTTTTAAAACAACTGTGGATTGCCAAGGAAAAAAATATTTAAAATGTGTAATAACACTGATGCATCTTTAGATTGAAAACAATTTATTCAATTCACATAGTTATATTGATTTAATGTTCAGGCTGACACTTAATGCAATAAAAGATAGGAAATTTATATTGAAAATTCCCAACTAGCTCAAGTTACAATATATTATAGGGCAAAGGAAAATGAGATGTGTTAATGTAATGGGCTTTTTTAAAAAACATTGTCATTAAGTAATACTGTTGCCATTTAATAATTAGAAATAATCTATCTCAGATATTAAGGCCCTACACAGAATAAAACGGGCCTCAGCTGAACAGAGAATTAATTGCTTATGAAAATTCTTATTCAGCAAAGACTACAACATGGCAAGGGATATACCTTTCACTAGAAATGCTAATAGATTTAAATCATGGTTTTTTCTTTTTTCTGGGTTTGGGGTGGGGTTTTGGGTAATCTCATTTTTCTATAGATAAGTCCTGCCTTATAATTTCATCACAATCTCTGTACTTCAGTTGAAGCATACTTAGGTCAGTCATGTGTGAATTTTCACGCATCTATCTTCAAATGTCTTAATTCTGTAAGGGAAGAATAAGAGGTTGAATGCCTAAGGACTAATCAAATTAGTGAACCATAATAATTTTTTAAGACAAATAACAAGCTTATTAGGAGAGGATAATAAAGGAAAAAAGAACAATAATAAACTCCATGTGTTTTCCAGACAAAATTGTTCCATGTGTTAAAAATGCATTGTTGTAGAGCACCAGAAAACTTTGTCTCACTTAGTCACTTAGCATTGCCCAAAATGTACCAGAGTTCAAATACTTCTATTCTTCTTCAGTAGTTAACCATTCCAAAAATCAAATCCTGAAAACAGGCTAATGAGCAAAATGAGAAGAACACTTTTGCAGCTGGAGATACTGTATCTATAAAATCCTATCTAACTGAACAGTCATACTGTAACATTTTCACTTTAAATGCCTCCTTCTTTCAGGATATGTGAAAGGAGTGTGATTTTGGCTCTTTTCTCAGTAGAGAGATGGTGTGGCATCAGTTAGAACTGATATGAGTACTTTCAAGGGAAGAAATAGAAGAGCCACCATGAATTTCCTGTTTTCAACTGCTGCACTTTTTCCTGGCAATGGCATGCCATGTGCTACTGGAGCATTCCATGGCAGTTTACACTTTTGCCACCTAATACATTATTAGCCAGGGACTGTTTGATTTAGATTATTGTACTAAGTACTACCTTCTAAGCAATCACAAAGGCTGATTAGAATGCTTTCTGTTGCACGTTGCAAGATTAAGCATGCATTAATTTCAGCTAAAACAACAGCTGTTTAATGTTCATATAGAATTGCATGCAAATGTTTGATTTAGAGCTGCCCAGCATTCAAACAGCTGGGAGAACCTCCAAAAGCTTGGAATCTCAAAAAGTGCCTCCTGCACAAACTTGCCTCTCTTCAGTGTGACCATGTATCAGTCTCTTGCTTTCTATATCCTTTCTTAGTAGATGTTATAAGGGCCAGATAAGACGCAGGGATGTAGAGAGGGAAATCCATTTGAAAGTCAGATCTCTGCCTCCTGTCTGTTTCAAAGGCAACTCCTGGGAACAAAAGGTCAGTGACACAGCTTTGCCAAAGCCACATTTCCAATTAAACATTAAATGTTTAGAAGATGTTGGGTGTGGAATGGCAGAGTATTGAAGTAGGTGGATGTATGCATACAAATGTTCAAGGCACACAGGACTTGGGGATCATTTTTCTGGAGCTTATGTTTTTCTCTTTGTCACCTTTCATACCACAGATGAACTTGGAATTCTTAGTCATTGCAGTTGATGAATTCTTAGCCATTGCAATTGGTGGAGAGGCCAATAAAAGTTTTACAGCTGAAAAGGGCTAGACTTAAACACGAGTTTCACCTTTTTCACAGAACTTGATTAGCAATAAATGGGCTGGGGTTACATTTATAAAAAACTGATAGTAAAGCCTCACCTTGGGTCTCCACCCAGAAACCTGAGAAAAGTAAACTAAATTGAACAACTTAACCTGCTCAGTCAGTTAATTTTCCTGATTCATAGGCACACATCAATCGGCTTAAAGTACACTAGTTTACAGAAACAACAAACCCAAGAACAAAACGAAAACAAGGTAATGTATAAAAGGCATATACATAGAGTTTGAAATATAACTTCAGCGATTTTTCCAGTCCTCCCCTCTGCTGGGTCTGGCCAGCTGGTTGCCTCAGCCACAGCAGGGCCTGGCTGCCTGTCCCACTACCCACTCTAAATAAGCACTGCAGCACTGTTACTTGTACTTTCCTTTCCTCTAGGTCAGAAAATATAGGGCAGTGGGAAGTAACAAGTCTCTTTGTATACTGGAAGCTTTTAAACAGTTTATTCCCTAAATACCACAGAATATAAGTAATTTCTGCTTCATTAAACATTCTATAAAAAGTCATTTTTCTCTTGTTGCACATGACTTTTGTCTTCTGATGCTGGAAAGTATTGCATTGTATTATGATGATCTCTCACGGAGTACTCCTAAACCCAGTCAATTATGCCAGACTTTAATACCCAGCTTGGAATGCCCATGATATGTGTCTTTATAAAATAAAGCAAATCCATCATAGTATATCAATGCATATGGAATAAAGGTGGCTCAGACCAGACCAAGAGTTCCTTCTATTCGTGACCTCTTTTCTACAGGGGAAACTCTCGGCAGCAAGCTCCTCCTCTTTGGCCACCTTCTCTCCTGGATTGCCAGGTTTACAGAGGAAAAATGCCACCATTTCATTTGTTCTGTCTTGTAGCTCCACCACTGACAATTTTGAAGCCCCCTGCTAAGAATCATCGTGTTGAAGCACAGGAACTGGTGTACTTGAAAAGATCCACTAATATTACAATTTGATATTGTGAGTCTCCAATTTATGGCTCGCCAGACCTTCCTATATAAACTAATTCAGTGACTTACAAGTTTCACTTGACAACCATTATACTCCTTTTGTTATCTTTTCGACAAAGGGAAGTATCATGCAATATGTGGCAAGTGCCCTGCATTAACTCAGTGAAGGATTGGAATAGAAATATTAAAAATATAAAGTACAGTTATGTCAGACAATATCACTTGGTGAAAAAAACAGTAGCTTCAATAAATAAATTTCCCTAGATTATCAGAGACAGGCAAGGCATCATCATCATCATCCATTTGGTGTTTAACCTCCAGGTGACCGTGTTGGTAGCATTTCTGACCCTTTTACTGCTATGTTTTAAACACCTCAGACTAAATGACAATTGTTACTGGGACAGGTTGCTATTTTTCCTTTATCAAGCTTTAATTGCTAGTGATGAGTGCCCAGATCTCACTGAGTGCCACAGCTGTGTCGAAGACACTGCTGGGACAGTACCGGGCAGTGTCAGTGCGTGTCCTGCGGGCAGCGGCTGTGCCACTCGCGGCTGACGGTCCCGGCACCAAGGCTGCTGTGCGGCAGAGCAGGGCGGCTCTGGAGACGAGCCCAGAGAGGCAGAGTGGAGCCTGTAAGGACCCAGCAATGCCCAGTTTGGTGGCTGCACCTGCTTGGAGCGGCTGTGCCGGTGGGGCAGTGCGGGGGCCAGCCCTGGGCGGGCACGGCCGTGTGCCCGGCAGCTGCCCCAGCCCATCGCAGCCTGCCCGGCTCGGAGCGGCGCTGGCAGCGCCCCGGGGCCACTGCTCGGGCCGGCAGGAGCGGCCCCGGGGCTCGCCCTGCATCTCGGCATGTCCGCGGCAGGGGCGCCGCACACCCAGGACCCTGAAGAGGCTGGGACATGCCCCGAGGATGTCCCCTCCCTCAAGGAAATCGAGCAGCTGCTGAGCACTGGGCGGCCCTCTTGCAATCACGTTGATGAAGTTTGGCCTAATCTCTTCTTAGGGGACCTGTAAGTACAGCTTGCTTTATGGACACACCTCTGCCACACCTTCCGTTAGAATGCCTCATGGGTGCAGCTTTACACAGCTCATAGTTTTGCTAATTGCTGTCATTTACACTGCAGACAGCGCGATTTCCGAGATAAAATTATGACTAAGCTGGTATTCCCTTCTCGATTAGCCCTTAGAAGTAATGCATGGGCTGATACTTCAGCAGTGGTTTGGGAGATGCAATCTCAGTGCTTCTGCTCTGTGAATATCACTGCACCAATCTTGACTTGTTTTTGTCTTTTCCTTAGAGTAACAGCACACAATAGATTTGTTTTGTGGAAGATGGGTGTGACCCATGTTTTAAATGCTGCTCATGGCACAGCATACAGCCACGGAGGCCAGGACTTTTATGGAGCAACCATTGATTATTATGGTGTACCAGCCCATGACCTGCCAAGCTTTGATATCAGCCAGTTCTTTTTCTCTGCTGCACAGTTTATCCACAATGCCCTGAACACGCCAGGAGGTAGGAAATTATTGTGGGTCTCATTTTGATGCGAGTCAGCAGCCTCACATAACAGGTTGGCTCCACAAAGCTCAGTGGTGGACAAATCACTACATGGTGTCCTGGAAGGTGCTGGTCACCTGCACGGTGGGTGGCAGGAGAAGGGATGTGTGGATGTAGCTCTGACTAGGTCCCAAAAAGCTGATGTGACAAAACAGATGAACCGCGCAGGAGAGAGACTGGGGAGGCGAGGAGAGAGAAAATTATTTGGAAGGTAAGGCTCATTCAAAAAGGGAGAAGCAAAAACATGCATTTGAAATGGACACCCTCTTTTGAGACCATCTTATTGCATGAACAAATGAATAAAAAGACAAATATCCTGATTTTTGCAATGACCAACTGTATGAAGAGGTTCATATATTGCAGATGAGTTTCTTGTGTGAACAGGGCTTGCAAGGCTGTGCCTCCAAGAAGAAGATTTACCCAAGGAGATTTACAGTGAGTTCCACAAGAAACTGAGCTTCTTGGCAGTGGTGCAATAAAATACAAATTAACCTGTTTTACATAAAAGACCATTTCTTAGCATGAGTAAACTGGCATTAATGGACCTGTCTCTATATCACAAGTTCTGACTTCAAAATAGAATTATAGTTGCATCAAATTGCCTTATTATGCAATAGTACTAGGCCAGTCATTTTTCTTGGTGGCTAATGTATCTGTGCCATCCATTCAGGCCTGATTTTAGCATTCTTCCTTGCATAAGCAAGCCTGCTGAAACTAATAGGTCTTTTTTTCCTCATGGTCAAAACAGAACAGCTTCATTACTCTAAGAAGGTTTTATTTGGTTTACCAAAGAAAAGTGTTTCTGAGATCAGGTTGGGGTCTCATGGCATTTCTCATACAAGTGAGTGTAACAATGGCAAATTAGACTTAACTGTTAGCAGTTCATGTGATCTATCAGAAGAGTAAGAAAAACATTTAAATTAAACTTCATTTATTGTACTGCTTCTCTTGATGGTTGTAATTTTTTTTTTACCAGCCAAAATATTGGTACATTGTGCAGTTGGAGTAAGCAGATCAGCTTCTCTAGTCCTAGCATATCTCATGATAAATCACCACCTCCCATTAGTTGAAGCCATCAAGACAGTGAAGGAGCATCGATGGATTTCACCCAATCGTGGTTTTCTGAAGCACCTGCGAAACCTGGATGTCCAGCTACGGCAAAGGAAGGACTGCTGAACAGGCAACCCTATCTACATTCACTTGACTGAGTTTCACCCTTCAGAGCCATTGTGCATATACAGCTTCCCATGATCAGTGCACATTACAAAAATGAAGAAAATGATGCATCGAAATAAAATGTCAACAGGATGGTAAATGGACTAGTTCTGATAGCTCAGCCCCTCCAAAAGCAGCCCAGCCAACAGCAGCACTGTGACCACTGCGCAGGGTGGAACTGCTGTGCCTTGAGTGGTGCTACTGGATGAATCCACTGAAGTGGTTAAGACAGACCAAGTTTGTCCCTGGTTTCTGCTCATGCCAGAGGCAAGTTCAGTATTTACATCTAGCTATAAAGGATGTTTGAGTCCCCTTTACTTGGGAGTGTAACATAATCATCTCTCTCGGTTTGGTTACAGTTCTCACCTGCATGTTCTCCTAAGAAAAATTTTGTGTTTCAGGCCTGATGATGAGACAAGGGCAGTTTCTTGAGAGCCCAGGCACTCCTACAGAAATGTTCCTGTTTTGCTGGTCTGCTAAATATTGTGGTGTTACAGAAAACTGTGACAGCCACAAGACCGACACCATCAGAATAAATGCTTGTGATATTTCTGCAGCCTGGGTCAGCAAACCCCATAGGTCTTTTCTTGTTAAATATGTTTTCAAAAAGAGAATGTATATCATGTAGTATACTGAGGACATTAAAAAGAATATGTCAGGTCTTCAAAGCATTTTGTAAGTTGGACTTAGCAGTTTGTTTGCACTCCAAATTATCCCAAATCAGTTCGTATCAGTGGCTTTGGATCACCCATGGTTTAATATCAGGTAGAAACTTAGCTTACATCAGTGGCTTGGCCTAATTGATGCAAATTAGTTTTAAGCTGTTTTGAGGATGTCACTTTTCCTGTCACTAGTTAATCAGTAATTAAACCATTGTGATTTTCAATACAGCAACAGCGTTTGAAATTCATGCTACCACTCTGCCTGAAAATTAGCTTGTTACCTTGTGGTGAACCACGAAGTGATAATCAAATTTGGTTTTGCCCTTTGCTGCTGGTTGGATTTATTGATTAGTTGACCTTATAAAGATTCCCTGCCAGATTAAGTAAATACATTTCTGTTTGCTTGTTTGCATTTGAAGCATCAGTTCTGATCATTTTATTGTCTGCTGAAGGAGACCTGCAAGGTTATTAGAAGACTAATGTAATGGTGACTTGTGAGTTGAACCTCTTCCTTTCCAGACCACATTTCCTTCTTCATTCTTGGAGAGGTTATGACATGAATGCTGATTCTGCCTAGCATTTAGGGGAATGTAGAAATCCCTCCCTATTTCACCGTACAAAAGTGCTTTGCAAAATAAGCATATTTAAGATCCTCAGACATCAGTTTGACTGTTGAGATTTTCCTAAACCTTGTGAAAGAGCTCCACTGATGAGAGAAAGGTAAGACATTGTTGTGTGAAAAGATCAAACAGGAAATCACATTTAAAACCCAACAGTGCTAGGACAATCTTTATACCTCACAAAGCAGCAGAGAGGTGGGGGAGGAGCTTTGTATGCTTTGAAGTTCTCCATTAAAATTAATAGGGATTTATATGAGTTAATATTTCATTGTAATTTATCCTTCATTCACTTTACAGTAGGTTTTAGTCTGGAAATCTTTTGAAGACACGGCATTGAAAATTCTGAAATTCATGTGAGTGAAATAATGCAACTTAATGGCTTTAGGCTGGACAAAATTAGACACATGTGAGCAAGATTAATGGAATCCCCCCATCAGGATAATGTTTTGCATGCCTCTGAGCATCTGTCCTACAAAGCCACAGCTGCGAAAGCTGCTCCTGTTGTAAATTAGTACCTGCTCTTGAAGATACTGCTCATCCTGGGAGAGTATTGTTTCACCAGGGCAGAGAAGGGAAGAGCACAGAGTGAAGCTGAGTCAGTAGGACATCCATGCCACCAATGGCATGGTAGCAATCTTGTAAGCACGACTTACTTACCTCAGTGGAGGGAATGAATTAGGTAGAAACTTTTTTCAAGGGCATTGTCAAATCACGGAAGTGTTTTTAATCTGTGGAGTCAGTGTTGCTTATATTTCCTGCCTGTCTGTATTTCTTCTTTATATACAGATTTACTTTGAGTGCACACTTGTGCAGGGAAAAAGATTCCAGTCAACATAAGCAAAAGCAGAAGAACAGTCCTGTAACTTCCTAAAACAGAAAGCATTGTCTGCTGCAATGTGCCAGGAGGAAAAGGGACCTCCTCACCTGTCACTTACACAGTCCATAATTCACGTAATGATGTGACATGACATTAGTGTTTCACTGCTTTCCACTATTCGCAGAAAAACTTGTATTGAATGTTGGTTTGGCAAGTTAGACTAAGGAACCAAAATGAAGGAAAAATACTGCCTCCCACTTCCCACAGTGAAGTGCCACTTCATTCAGAAAATGCACATTTGTCAAGAGGGTCTACACAACCTGGGAGAAGGTGCAAGTGAAAGGAACTGTCCCAGGTACAGCTCTAGCAGACTTAAATCTGCTTAAAACAATCACAAAAACAGTGTCACCTGAAGAGACTCACATAGAGTTCCAGTGAAAACTTCTCTTAATGTTATTTTCAAGTACAAGAACTGAGGGCATCAGACGAAGTCAGTAGAAATTAGGTCTGTAACAAGAGGAGAGCTTTACATGAGCTGTGTAACACCTTGCCACAGGATGCTGCAGAGAGTAAATGCCTATAGACATGCAAGGGGCAACTGGAAAAGTTTGTGGGACAGAAATCCATTCAGGGTTACCAAATACTTAGAAACTCCATCCAGATCAGCCAGCTGGAAGCTGGGAGAGTGTTATAATTATTATATACACAAGTATAATTAATGCTTGTGTGCTCTTATATTCTGTAGGCATCCACTTTCAGCCATAGTCAAGCACAGAGCAGTGGGCTTGGTGAACCTTGGGTGAGGCCCAGAACAGGTGTTCTCATGGTGTTTACTTTGAACTCACCCTCAAGCTGTGCTGTCCCCTCTTTCCCGGTAGCTTATTATTAGAACTGGGTCACATGAAGCATTTGGGACTGCGTCTCGGTATCACTGCCTGACATTTCTTTCACAAGGAAAGCTCTGTGCTGGCAGGAACAGCACCATAGCTTATGTGAGGACGGGAGTAGCATTTTTTGCATAAGATCCACTTAGAGCAGAACGTTCATTTTTCTGGCTGCTCCCCATTGCGTCAGGGACACAGTGCTGAGCTAATCCAGGGAGGCGTCAAGGCGCGAGCTGTATTTAGAGTCAGCCACCTGCTTGGGAACATCAAGCGGCACAAAGAGCCTGCTTCAGCAAAAACCTGCCCTGTGCATTCCACAGCAGCGGCTTCCAGCAGGCCCTCCCTCCTCTGCATGAGGCCTCCAAAGGGCTCAGCACCTGAAGACAGACCCTGTGAGCCCAGGAATGCTCTGAGCCTGGCACTCCCTCTGCCCAGGAACTGCCAGATATTTTGGACAGCTGCAAGGTGGAATTAAATCACGTGGGTGAAGAGTGGCCTAATCTCTACGTAGGCAATATGTAAGTGTTATTTGAGGCTGAGCTGTTCTGAAGGGCTGGGGAATACAGTAGTCATTAACATATGCTGGCCAATTTTATATAGTTAGTGTTGGTAATCTTCATTGCCTTAAAATAGACTTAAGATTAGCACAGAAGAAAGCAAAAGGACTATCCATTAAAGAAAGAACCTACTGCACAGAAAAACAATTAAAAAGAGAATTAGATTCTATTGCTTTGTATTATTTTATAATTGTGCAACATACAGATTATGTAAATGCTACAGCATTTACCATCCAAAGCACAAGATAGACTTATGATCCTGAGAAACCATAAAATTGAACAATAATTGGGGTTTTTTACTTTTTTGGTGTAATTTTAACTAGAAGGGAAATTTTCACACTTAAAAGTATTCTGATTTTGGCTGTTTATATGACAACTTGATTTGCAATTGAAATTTTTACAAATCTATGGATATTCTGAATGACAGCAGACTTCACTATTTCTGAAAACTGTGCAGATGGGTATTTCACTCTGAAGCATAGAGGAAGCATGCATCTGCACTCAACACGTCTAGTGCCCAATATTATGCCAAAACAAGGGCTTTTTCACCATCATCAGGTTGCAAACTTGTTGAAATATCTAGAAATTACAATAATTCCTACAGGAGAGAAGCAGGGGAAACTAAAAACCCTGCTGATTGCCCACTGATAACAGCTAAAAGTGTTTAGCTATGAAACAGCAAAGTCAAAAAATGAGCTAGGTGACGTTGGGGAAATAATCTGCATTTACAAAACTTGGTTTTACAAATTGCTGCCTGCTTGCTGATGTGCCTGCACTGGCAGGCAGGATGTGGCACTGGCAGGTGTCCCTGTGCACTGTGGGTGGGGACACCCAGCAGCAGCACAGCTCCCTGCTCAGAGCAACGTGCAGTGCTTCACTGAGCTCCTGCCTTGGCCAGGGGAGTGGAAACCCACCCTTGCCTTTCCGGTTACACCTTGTAACTACACTTGGAAATTAACTCATTTACTTATTACAACCATGTGCAGAGATAAGGATTTGTAGAATTGAGCCTGACAGGCAAAGATTTAAGACAAAAATCTCTGAAATTTTGTTCTCTTAACAGTAACATTTGATTTTCGACAGATTTAGATCTTTTAAGATTTAGACCTTTTAAGTGCAGTTTTAAGATCTTCTTTTAATGCCTGGGAGTATACATGTGCCAAACTACTCTTGGATGTTTCTTTCAATCACATTCTGTCTTGTAGGGGGGAAAAATGGTGAGGAATAAAATGAAAAAGTATATAGACAACAACAGTGTGTATGTGTAGTAAGGAAAAGATGAGCTTTGAGAGCATTCAGCTAACAGAAATAAAAATGTAAACAGGTTTCTTTGTTAATGCAACAGCTGATCACGTATATCAGCTAAAATATGAGTTACAGACTGCAAACAGTGAAACTGGAAGTTGATCAAGTACTACAGATAGAAATTTTTTTGTTGTACCAACATCAATAAACAGACAGGAACAACACCTGAGAATAAGGTTTTGTGGGCTCTTCATGAGATAGAAATGGGGAATAGAGACAGTATGTTCATTTAGGGCCCAACCCAGTACTCAGTGAAGTTAATAAACAGTGGATGTTTCTGTTACTGAGCA